GTTCAAATAAGAAACATTAGGACATGCATAAAGTATAACATGGAGTAAGAAAATGATATTGTAACTTACAAAATAGCGAGCTGCACGAAGACTAGTCCAGCTCCTCCAAGTTGAGGAACTGAACGAGGTCCTTCTTGTCAATAGTGAAGTTGTATGTTATATCTGAACCCACAATCCCCAGTGGCATCTTGAAAGTAACGAGCTTATCCATGTTTGGTATTACATAATGAAGAACCTCCAAATTAGAATACATAAGCATAACATCACCAGGAAGAGGCAGGAGTACAGGATCTGATGTTGCACTCTTTGTGGCCTTCTTCGCTACCGTCTTCTTCACCACTGGCTTTGCAATAAGTTTCTTTAGTCACAAAATGAAATTTCCTTTAACTTGGGCCAATAGTCGAACCTCATCAGTAGGATTCGGCACTGGTATACCGCCTTGACCACGAAGAATCCTCTCCACTGTCACCCTCGCTTGATGGCTCAGAATTTTCTTGTCGTGATATGCTTTCTTTTTGGCCAAATACACATCGATATTGTTTTCCAACTATTTTGCCCCCGAGATCATCAAAGATAGCATGATATACTTTCTTTTCATACATAACCAAGGAGGCTAGTTGTAAATTACGAGGAGCACCGGCTAAGCACTGTGTATGCTACTAAGATTACCATATGGGTTAATTTCGTCCGTACAAAGCCCTAGCTGAACGTTTCTTGGCTCGCCACCGAATTGAAAATTTTTTGAATCTATTGTTTTCCATTGATGAGAATCTGCTGGGTGATGAAGTTTTCCATCACATATTTTCTTATCGAAATGCCATCTCAAGTTCTTTGCATCTGTGGCATTAGCAAATAGATGCTTAAATCGTGGTATTATTGGAAGATACCACAGAACCTTTAAAGGAGAACCTTTGGTCATCTCATTATAATCACCATCATCTTTCTTAACTTTGTATCTTGAAGTCCCATATTTAGGGCACTTATTCAACCCTTCATACTCATTTCTGAATAATATACAGTCATTAGGACATGTATGTATCTTCTCATATTCTAAACCCATCAGACACAATTTTTTTTTTGCCTCATACATTCGTTTCGGAAGTTTAAACAATTCCGTGAAACTAGCATCGGTCCAACTATTTCTTCTTGGCTTCAAGTTCATCAATTTCAACACGGTTGTTAACCTTGTGTAATCATCTTTGCAACCTGGATATAAAGGCGTCTCTGCATTACTACACAAAGTTTCAAAAGTGAGAGAGAACTGTGTAGAGGATTCAGACCTTATGTCACGAAACATATTTGAAATTCTATCATTAAAATCTTCATTCACAACCTTCTCTTTTGCAGATAGTGTAGTCTTTCTAATTTCTCCATACCATATCCAATTTGTATACTTCAAATTTATCCTATCACAGATAAGATGCTCTTTTATTTTAGAAATACTCTGTTAACTATTGTTTAAGCATTTGACACAAAGACAATAGTACAATCCATCTCTTTTACTAGGGACATTTCTTTGAGCAAATTTAAGAAACCTTTCAACCCCATCCTCGTATTCTTTGCTAATTCTCTTAGCTTTCATCCAACTACAAATCCATTGTTCTACAGAGTCAATGAGCATAGTTGTTAAGCTCAATTCTAATTTCTTAATTCAAATATTGAAATAATAAAATCATTAAATGTTAATCAATAAATTAAAATTGACTAAGATTTAATTACAAATTAAAGGGAATGTCTCTTTTTAAAAAATAAAAAATTTGACAAAATTTTTCCTTAAATATATAACAAAGAAAAAATTAGAGTGAAAGACCAAGAAAAAGTTATACTTATCATAAAGAATCTTAAAAATTGTAATTATTTAAAAGGACAAAAAATAAACAATTAAATATACAAACATCAAAGTAGAAACAAAACGCACTAAAATTTTTTAATCAAAAATAAAATTTTCTCAACCCCTATTTATCTTATTAAATATATTATAATAAAAAATAAAATATATAATTATTTTTAAAAATTAGATTAAGTAATTTCTTAAAAATTAGTATATATAGTGAATGAGCGAAAATGTTAATAAAAATAAAAAATCAAACAAACATATATAAGTTTTGTGAAATAGTTGAACAAAAATTATTTTAATTAACATTAAAACTATTCTTCATAACATATTTCAACATGATAAATTTGAAGAAATATAACAAATAAAACAAAAATAAAAATCCAATTTCAAACCAATTCAATGAATAAAAATTCTTAAAGCTAAAACTTCTGAATCCAAAACAGGAACACAAATAATATTTATTTGCAATGAAATTTTAAACAACACTTTATCATCAATCAAAATTCATAACTGGAAAAAATTCACAAAATACCAAAAATTATTTATTACTAAATTCTCAAATTTATTACAAAAAAATACCAAAAATTCAAAATAAATATCAAAAAATTATTAAAAAAAACTTCAAAACTAATCAACTTCAAACATTTAAATATGTTTCTAATATATTATATAGGAAGGGATTAAGGTTTTCTCACACCAAATGCCCACCAATCAACACCTCAAGCATATAAAAAACGCAAAATCAATAATACAAGCCAACCATAATATAAAACTAGCAAACCCATTTGAAATACAACAAATTTTTATGGTCAAAACATTTAAGAAACTAAAAAAAATTAAAAAGAATGAAAGAAGAGGATACTCACATAGTATAAGCGATTCAAATGCGAAAAGACACTACAAGTTAAATGGAGGAGTTTAAACGGTGGGAAAGTGGGAGGAATGACCGATAATAGAAGTTCTTTGGTGGTGGGACAGAGGGAGGCCACGATGCACTGAAACGAAACTATGAAAATGAGAGAAAACGAACCCGCGGTAAGGTTTTTTTAAAACTATCCATGGCGGTTTTCTTAATAACCCCTGTGAAAAATCAAAAGTAATGCAACTTATTTACAAAAATGCCACTATCTTTTTTGCCATATTGATTTTTTGATTAATCGCCGTTATTTGACAACGTTAAAAGTTTTTTTTCTAGTAGTGGTGTGAAATATTGTTAGTGGCACATTGGTCTTAATGAGCCCATAGCTAATTGTGTATTTAATGAAATTATTAATGCCTAACAACATTTGTAAGTAATTTAATATTTTGACCATGCTGCTTACTATTCTTCCGGTCCTAAATATAAAACTCTTATACATTTATATTTAGAATCGGAGGAGTGTATCATTATTGATGCGGACATGATTTAACTTCGCCCCCGAAATGATGGAAAAAGCCAAATATCCCGCACACGAAACTTGCTTCTTTCGTTTCCTTCACCTCTTCATGAGTTCATTCATGGTATTCCATGCCGCTTAGTACTACCTCTATTGGTGGGTCCCATCCTGAATTCCTGTACATGGAATAGTATTATTAGTAAAGTAGTAAAACATTTGATTAAATATTTAATTAATGAAAACATTCCTCTAGAAATAGAGTAATAAATAATGCTACACAGCCTGGCAAAATATAATTATATCTTGTAATTATCTTATCCTACATGCATGTATACATCTCTTCCTCAAAATGAGGAGTAAGGGAAAGACATGATTCCTAATACAATTCTCAATGCCGTTTGGTTTCACTATAATCATTATTTTTACGTTTTATCTGAGATAAAACTGGGATGGCATATTTACTTTTACATAATACAAAATTATTTAAAATATATATTACTTCTAATCTTTAATATAAGAGTTAGTTTATCATTAAATTTAGTTTTAAATATAAAACTTAATTCACTTTGTCTCTTATATTTATCAATTTAGTTTTTTATTTTACTCAAATTCATCAACTAGTTTTTGTATTAAGGTTCAAAATTAGTATAAGCTTATACAATAAATTAACACTAAATCATGAAAAAAAAAGAAAAACAAAAACAAAGGACAAGAGAGAATCAATCAAGTGAGGAAGGTTTTTGTGTGTGTGTATATGTGTGTGTGTGGTTTTTTTTTTTTTTTAGGGGGGTGTTCACAGGGAAGATGGAAGCACTGCACTACACGAACAGCACCACGCATAATGGGCGTTATAACGGAAACAAATAAAAAGCAGGACGACGATTTTGTCAAGGCAAGGCCGAAAAGATATTATGATATGTTGACGGGCGCAGCCTCTATCACGCTGTGTCTTTTCTTTTTACTTCACAGATCCTAACAGAATGAAAGCAACGCCAATGTACCCCCCTTTTTTCTCCTTTTGTAATTTCTTTTTTAAAAAATTAATTATTTAATTATTTAATTGTTATAATTTTGGTTGTATATTGACTCAATTTTTAAGGTTCAACTTCATAATAATGGTTTTTATTATAAATCGTGGCAAACTAAGATATTAATTACATTTGTTTAAGATTACCTCCATTTAAAACTTGATGTAATTAATCTTTTTCTTCATTTCTAAATATAATTCATGATTTTAAATAAATATAAATTTAGAATAATTTTTTCATTTTTCAAACAAATTTAATAATTTAACCACTCTCTCCTTGATCTGGTTATAAGTGATGATAGATGCCTTGTAGCAGGGACCAAAGCGGCTTCTTCTGAAAAGGAAAATGTAGGGACTAATAATTTATTTAATTTAGCAATCAGTTGTCAAATGTAACTTTTTTTTTTTTGGGGGGAAAAATATCACACACACGTGGTAACCATCATCGGTGAAAATGGTTTTGCGCCACGCTACCTACTACTAGAGTACGAAAGGCCTCATGAAGGCGGAATGACTCTACTCTCACCCCACACTTCATTTTATTCTCTGCCTCCCACCTCCCGCCCACATTAAATATCTCCGATTTGCTTTTTAACTTTTGCATTTCTTGCTCCCAGTAATTAATTAATATTGTTGCGCGCACAATCTCGAACACATATATATAGGGGTGTGGTGTGGACGCCTTCCTCACCCACCACAAGCTTCAAAGCCATATTCATCTGTAGTGCCTCTACGAGATCAAGGCAAAGAAGGAAATTTTGCTCCCTTCCCCTACCTGAGTCTCGTTTTTCTCTCTCTGAGAGATCAGAGCAACCCAGAGGCACTCACACAAATTAAAAAACCTTTGCTGCTGCTTCTTCTTCTTCATCAACAAACAATGGCTTTCATGGGTCACAACACTCTCGCTTTTGTCTTTGGCATTCTTGGTAATTCGTTACTATATATCAACGCTCTCTCTTTTCTTTATATGGCAAAACCCTTTCATTAATAGCTCAACCACGCCACCTCTAAAAGAAAACCAGAAAGCTTCTGAATTTCATTATTGTCCCTCTCTCAGATAATCATGTTTTCATTAATTTTCTTCATCACTTTATGACTTGTTGGTCACGAATCTCTTAAATAACAATTTCAAAAAGGAGGTTTTGGTTCTGGCATTGCTCTCTAAATGTTCCATTTCTAGCTAGCTATGTCCTCTGTTATGGCGAAGGAATTAAAGGATTCGTTTCTTCTTTTCTGGTTGTGTGCGCGTGTGTGCAGGGAACATTGTTTCATTCATGGTGTTCTTGGCTCCTCTGTAAGTATAAATTTTGTGATAATAATTTCTATATCTTTCTAAAAATGAATCTAAAAAAGGAAACTACTAATAAGCGGAAAATATTGGATGGAAACGATGATCAAGCAGGCCTACGTTTTACACGATATACAAGAAGAAATCGACGGAGGGATTCCAGTCACTGCCGTACTTGGTGGCGCTCTTCAGTTCGATGCTGTGGCTGTACTATGCCTTCATCAAGACCGGCGAAATGCTGCTCATCACCATCAACTCATTTGGATGCGTCATGGAAATCATCTACATCACCATGTACCTCATTTATGCCACAAGAGATGCCAAGGTATGCGTGTGTGTGTGTGTGTGTATAACCAAAACATCTTATCTTAATCATCAAACAACCATTATCTGATTTTGGTTTATTTAATTAATCATCAGAGGTTAACCATCAAACTATTCGGAGCCATAAACGTTGGGGCGTTCTGTTTGATCGCGGTGGTGACCCAGTTTGCGGTGCACGATTCCCTTCGCGTTCAGGTGCTGGGCTGGATTTGTGTCTCCGTCGCAGTCAGCGTTTTTGCAGCCCCTCTCAGCATCATGGTCAGTAATAACTGATAGTACACATATATATATATATATCCACACACGCACACGCACACACAGAGCATATAGTCATTTTAATGTGGGGAGACAGAAATAAGCGTGTCATGTGCAATTGATGCGCAGGCACAGGTGATTAGAACAAAGAGCGTGGAATATATGCCATTCAACCTCTCATTTTTCCTCACTTTGAGTGCTGTTCTGTGGTTTGCTTACGGACTCTTCCTGAGGGATATATGCATTGCTGTAAGTTTGTATCAATGTTGATCATTCTTATTTACTCCAACCATTGATTTATATAGTCAATAGTGACTAAGAATATATTTGTGTGGGTGTGTGATACTGTAGCTGCCAAATGTGTTGGGATTCGGATTGGGTGTGATCCAGATGGTGCTGTACGCGATATATAGGAACGGAGGGAAGAAGGGATCGGGAGATGAGAAGGAGGAGAAGGCGGCGGCGGTGGAGGCGACGGCGATGAAGAGCGTGGTGGTGGTGGGGGGTAATGATCAGGTGTTCCCACAACCGCAGGAAGCGAAACAAGAGACCAAGGAGGAGAAGGCGCAGGAGGAGGAAGACGACTGCCCTGTGTGAGGCTGACGATGGGAAAATGCGTTTGATCATTGACAACAATTGACGATATTATTAGTAGGAAGCGCCATTTTAATTTGTTATTGTCCTTTGCTTTTGTTGTTTCCGGTCGCCGCGATTACGGGCGTGTACGTACCTAAGTGTGTGTCTGTACCGCTGTTATCACTATTCATTTTTACCATTCTCATCCCAATGAATAAATTTAGTTAGTCTCTTCCATCAATTATTATTCATTACAGCCTCCTCCTTCTTTAACTCTGCCGCTCATGCCCACTGTTCATCACCACAATAACATCAAAACTATTTGATATGTCCAAATTAGTCGATTTAGGCATTTTCCCCCCCTAAAATGATGTCTAAAACTATCTTTATTTTAGATGTTTCACTATCAAGGCAACACATTATTAAAAGTAAAATAACATTAAATCTAAGAGTTTTCAGTTAGTAAAAATGTTACTCATTCTGTGGACTTGTTTAAAGCTACGATCTATAGGCACTCATATATAAACACATTCACATAAAATTTTCCTTATATACTTATTTTATATATTCTGTAAATGGGTTAATATAATTTTTGTCCATAAAATTTGAACCCATTTTGATTTTGGTCCTTCAAATTTTAAATTCATGGTTTTAGTCTATGAAATTTTGTCTGTTTTAAAACGTGAATCCCTGACAATGTAACAATATTAAAATCTATTAAAGTATTATCAATAACGTTAAAAGTGGTGATGTGGACTTACCAAATGACATTTAACTAGATTTTTGTGTGGATAACATAGCGCAGTGTAGTAAATAGCTCCTGAAAATGAATGAAGGAAAAAACAGGATGTTAAAGGGCTACATTTTTAGGATTTGTTCTTTTTTTCTCCTTTTGTTATCCACATATATAAGATCCAAATAGATATCATCTGGTGAGTTTATATCATCACTTTAAGGTTGTTTATGACACTTGCACAGATTTTAATACTATTACACCTCTAAGGACTAACGTTTTAAGACGGACTAAATTTCAGGAGCTAAAACCATAGGTTTGAAATTTGAGAAACCAAAATTAAAATAGAGCCAAATTTTAGGGACAAAAAATTATCTTTTTTTTTTTTTTTGGTTTTCCATCGGTATCCAGCGCCTTTGGCAACTGACTAATCCGGTTCAACCCCATGAGATCCCAATTAGGGGCCAAAGGTCTCCCAGCAGGGGTTGCTCCATTCCTAGGGCTTGAAACCGAGACCTCTGGTTAAGAGGCCAAGAGTATCTACCACTCTGACCAACACCCCATTAGTGACCAAAAATTATATTAACCCTTCTGTAAATTACGATTAAAAATATATTTATAAGTCATTCCTAACAAGCCCTAAGAAAAGTTAAATTCAAATCACAAAGCTAATATGAAGATGTAAATATTTTTATAACTATTTTTTTGAGTCTTAAAAGATGCCCAATCATCATGAAACTCTAATTCAACTCACCAAAGCTTTTTTTAATAAAAAAAATGTAAGTGTTCTATTTCTAATCACGACAGTCTAGATTAAAACTTTAATGTTCATCCCCCATTCATTCTCCTTACACTACAAAAACAAAAAAACATTAAATCACCGATGGAATCTATTCCGTCACAAAAATTTGTTAGAAAACCGTGGCAAATTCTTTCAGAAATATTATTGAAGGAATTTGCCACAGAATTTCGTCAGAAATTACCGACAGAATTTTTGTCGGTAAATTAATTTTCCAATAGAATTAGCCACGGAAAAATTCTGTCGATAATTTCTATCGCAATTCCATGGCAAATTCGATCAAAAATTCTATCGGTAAATTTATCCATGGAAGTTTGGATGGATTTTTGATAGAAATTATTGACGGAATGTTGTCCGTGGCTAATTCCGTCGGAAAAGTGAATTTCTTTTCCCCAAAATTTTATATTTTTATTCTTATAATAAAATGTAGTCATTCTATTTTTTATGAGGTGAAAGACTACATTATGTAAAAAAGAAGCAAATAAAAATTTTGTAAAAGGACATAGTGAAATCCTAGAAGTATGGTTGAATCATAATAATTTGATCTATGCACTTGATTACCTTAAGTATGAAAAAGTAAAAATTACTTTTTGAGTTATTGGTTGATTGTGGCTATTTCAAATTAACTGAATATTATTGATCATAATAGAGAAGAATAAATGTTAGAGAGAAAATTGAATTTTAATTTACTAATCTTGAGATAATATCATATGAAGAATATAATGGGTGCAAAGAAAATATTTACATGGAATAATGGATAACAATATCGCTAATTTATTAGTATTTAGTTTCATAAAACTGTAAAGAAAAACAAAATTCTCCTACCAAATATTTCACATACTTATATTTTGAGGATTTAGACTCAATAATTTTGATTAAAAACTTATAAGTCCTATTAATTAAATAAAATGCTTGATGATTTGATTGTACAAGATAGTGATTTATAGCAATCCTTATTAAAATGTGAGAGATGTATGAATCCTAAGCATCATCTCTTGTAATTTATTCATGACAACATTATTCTTTTTTTTTTTTTTACTCCACAACTCCATGTAATTAGATATTGTCAATATTATATTATATGTAAATATGTTATCTATTTTTAAAAATAGATGGACATTTTTAAACTAAAAAATATCAAGTCATTTCAAATTATACTAAAAAATAATTGAACTGGTATTTGATAGATCATAATTTAGAAAATTAATATTAACAACTGTTTGCAAATAATACAATTAGAAGATTTTACTATAACATAAAAAACATATATTTAATGAATTACTAAGAAATAAAAAATTAGAATCTTATGTAAATAAAAATAGTAAATATGAAAATAGCTTATTCTTTTTTCCTTGTTTTGTTTTTAAAGTTAGTCCACCATATCTAATAGTCAAAGCACATTTTTAATACACAATAATATCAATCAAATTATACCAAAAAAAATATATCAACATTAATATCAAGTTGGCTAGATATAAATTGAGAAAAGGTTGGCCAAATATTGTAATCTTATTCTAAATATAATATTATTGTTCTTGTGTGTGAAAAATAGTAAGACTTAAATTTAAACTTAGAATTTGGAAATCAAAAAATTTAAACTTAGAATTTATAAAATGTAATTTTGTCAATTTTTGTTTGAAGATACCATATTTCATTTATTAGAAGGCTAAATTTATTCTCCCTCAAAAGATTTTTACCTTCTCTCCATTAACCCATTTAATTTGAGATTTTATTTTTTGCAAAAAATTTTAACTTTTCTCTTCTCTTTCTTCCAACAGTAAACCCTCTTTCTGTAGCATAGATAAAACCATATTTTACCTTGTTACTTTGATAGGAAAAATTAGAAAGAAGGACCTAAAAAATAATATTTATTGAGAAATATCTTAATAATTATGATTGTTTACAAGGACCAAATATCAAAATATAAATTTAAAAATACTAAATTATCCCTAATTAAATCCCTACATTTCCTCTTATCATGCCTACATTTAATATATTTTCTATAATCTTTTTAATTTATACTAAAATTCTTTATAGTTTGTTGTCATCAATATTGATAAAAAAATATTCAAATCAAATAAAAATTATTTATTATTAATAAAAGATATTTTATATAACTAAACAAACAATTAAACGAAATTATTCGTGTACATGAATAATGCTAGCAATAGTTAATTTTCATTTTCGCCTTCGTGCGGCTTTTAATTGGACTTTCCTCTTTCTTTAAATATTTCTTTCTTTATTTTTTTAATAAATTATTGCTATGTATATTTTTTATAAATATATTTAAATGTAAAAAACATATTTTAATTTATTTTAATAAATACAATTGAAAAGTTTATAAATATTTTTCTTAAATTGTTATTAATTTCAGTTTCTTAAAATATTAAATGCTTAGATATACAATAGTATTCAGATGTATTTTTATATCCGAAATTTTCCATTCACTTAATTTTAATAACTTCTATTTTTATTATGATTTACTTTAAGTGACATATCCAGATAAAAAAAAATTCTGAAAAATGATTAGGGAGAAAAAAAATTAAAACCATGAATAATTTTATGAGTATCGTTGATCAATTTGATTTTCATATTATTTGGAACAAGAAGGGCCGCATCTATGGATTTGGGTCTGAGGCTGATGATAATATTTGTACCCAGAGGTCTTCTCCTTCCATTAACAACACAAGTATCAATACCAATTTTAAAACTGAATTGCGCATGAGGATAACAGAGCTTACATAGGAGAATTAGCAAATTAGACAAGAGCATCAAGAGATGAGACAAAATTATAACAAAATCATGTCTGCATTGGAAGGAATGGGAATTAAACTATTTGAGCGCTCTAGCAGCAATATAAATTTAGGAAATGATAGTTGACAATTGTTATTATTATTTCTAGTTTTTTACTTCACACTTGACACTTGACATTTGAAGCATCTTGGGTGTGTGAAACACTATATATCTTTAATTATAGTATATTTGATTTTTTGACAAATTCAATTGTCTTTCGTCCCCTCTTAAAAAACGATCGATCAAATTAAAATAGCACAAAATAAAAACGAAATCAAATTTGGCACAAAATTAGCGATGGAAATCTGTGGAATTTTTGTAATTTTGCCATGGAATATTCCATCGCAAATTTTTAAAAAAAGGTAACTTGTCGATAATCAGTTGGTATTTTATGACGGAAATTCTTTCTGAAATTACCGATGGAATTTGTAATTTTGACGCAAATAGATTTAGTGACAGAAAATTGTTTGATGGAACGGATTTCGTCAAAAATTCCATCGGTAATTTTTGTTCATCGCAAATCCGTCAGCAAGTCTATCAGTAATTTTGACTTCCGTTGATAATTCCATGAGTAAATGAGTGCTTTTTTTTGTAGTGTTAATTAATACGCCAACCTCCTTCAGCATAGATAATATGTGTTGTATTATTATTATTACTGCTACTAGCTAACCGCTACTATTACTAGAATCCGTAGCCCCCTTCTCTCTC